TATAATAATAAGATTAAGATTTGTCATTTTCCTAACCAAACCCTAATCAAAAATGTTAAAAATTCAGGATTATAAGAAAGATTATAAGAAACGTGACATGTGCATGATTCTATCGGTAAATTCTCAGACAGGAGAATCTGTCCATCTATCTCTTCCATCTTCCCTCCGCCCTTATGTTAATCTGCCTTTGTCTTCTGTCCACCTACCCTTCCGCCCGTTTTTCCGTTTATCTGCCTGTCATTCTACTTCTCTTTCAGTCTGTCTGTTCTTCCGCTCATCAATGCTTCCGTCCGTCTTTCAATATTTCCATCCATAACATTTCTCCTGCAACGCTTCGCTCTGTCTCGCTTTTCGCTCAGTGTAGATGTGTCAAAAGGAGTTGTTTGGCTTCTTTGACTGGCATATTTTGCATTATCATTCAGCGACATTCCCGCAGACATGCGGCACTTGGAGGATGGCCGGATGGCTGGCTAGGCGGATGGTTGACTGGTTCTCGATTCGGGTTCTGGGCTCTTCTATCTTTCGATTTGCTTTGGGTTCGCGTGTTTGCCTAGCTGTTAAAATGATTGGCACCGCGGCCAATTATGGCCCCGTCGACTCAGCCATAAAGTGATTTTGAATGGAGGCGGCGCCAGTTGCCAGTTGTCAGTTGCTCGCTGCAAAGTCTTCTTCTTCTTCGACTTCGGCTGCTTTTGCCAGAGGTGTCACTGCGGCAGTTGAGCAAACGGCCAAGATGTTGGCCATTCGGCAGTTGGCTAGCCAAGCACTTGGCCATTAGAAGTTTACAAGCCAACTAATCGCTGGCTTAGCCGACAATGATGAGCTGTCATTAGCTGTGGAGTCATTAGCAGAGCTATTGACARTGCCAAAACGTGAAAACGATTACGATTACGATTAAACCCATTCGATAGCTGTGCAAATGCCAGCATCAATGCAGCTAATCGATCTGACCATGGAGGTTAGGTGTGGAAAGTTGCATTCAAGTGCCTAAAGGTGTAGAGACAATTACTGAAGACTTGGCTTCGATAATTGGCTATTGATTATGTAATTTCGCATCGATAGGCTAATGCTGAAAGTCAATTTTAGTAGATTTATTTGCTTTGTATAGCAGTATATATAGTATATTGGTATACCTAAAACTAAACTAAAATTATCTGCAAGCGATGAAATACTTATAGACTATAATGGTAACTTGATCAGAAATAGTTAATAAGCTCATGTGCGAAATGATCTATTAATTGAAATCGATAAGTATATAGAAAGGTTTTATCAACAATCGATTAGTGAAAGTTTTGCTCCCAGAACTAAAAGAAAATTCGATAACACTTGCGATAAATATATCAAAGTAACAGCAGATCTAGAAAGTCAATGTATGCCATCGCTTTTATTAACTAAATTGATATTCCATGAATCGATTTATTTAAAATCGAATATAAAATACTTTTTGAGAATACTTCTTATACTTATAATTATAGGTAAAACTGGTTTGAGTTAACGACTCAAATTAATACCTATTTATAACTCATCTTAGTCCCCTCGTATAGTCTAGTTATGTTGACTTACATATGTATAATTCAAGTTAATTGATCTCTCCATTACGCTAAGATCATACAAACAAATCGCATGTCTACAAAGTATGCAACATAAATTGTCGAACAGCTGAGCAGACCAAAAACACAAAAGCTTAAATGACAAAAAGAAAATGAGAGCAAGAGGAGCAGAAGAAGGGGTGTGGCAGGAGGAAGACACTAATAGAGGTAGAGAAGAGTGCAAACCCCTCACTAACTATGCAAACAACAAGCAAACAAACAGCGCAGTTAACTGAAGCGCTGCAGCCGTAACTTGACCAAAACGATGGCTAAACACAAGTTGGCCAAAAAGTGGCGACGCGACGGCGACTGCGTTCTGCTCAAAAATGTTAAACAGAGATTAAGCCAGGAGCAAAGGCTGCAGAGAGAGAGAGAGTTAGAGAGAGAAAGAAAGAAGGGAGGGAGAGGTTAAAGATATAGAAGCGGCGATAAGCAAACTGGAAGCCAAACACAAACAACAGGAGTGAAAGAGATGGAGAGCGAAAAGAGCGGAAGGCAAGCTAAGACTGAGCCATGTAAACAGCGGGCGAGTGGGGCTGGGCAGGAGGCAAGCAAAAACTAAAGATATAGACGCAGCGATAAGCAAACTGAAAGCCAGAACACAAAAAATAAGAGTGAGCGAGCAGGGAGGGAGAGAGAGTGAGGGGCGCTGCAAGACACAAATGAACCATTAAACAGCAAAATCATAAAAATCAAGAGCCATAAAGAAGTCGTCGAAGGAGCGCCAGTAACAAACAGAGTACAGCCAAACAGCAGTTCGCCAGCAGTTCACAAACACACTCACACACACATACACCCATGCATGCACATACGATGGCTACTCACAGCTGAATCACAAGCAGAGTGGGAGTGCGAGCAGGAGAGCCAAAGCCGGCTGTCCGTCTTCTTTTTTTTAACTGTACGCAGATGTCAGCCAGCGATAGATGAAGAAGACAGCAGCAGCAGTAGAGCTGGAAGCAGAGTGAAGAGAGGAGAGAGTAGGAATTGTAGCGGGTGCTACTGCTTAGCTGGCCGCAGTTAGCTTTTGGCGCACGCTTCTCGTCGTCTCGCTGACGGCGCAATGACAAATTGCACCAAGAGACAGTCAAAGTAAACCGAAGAGAAAGAGAGGCAGCAAAAGGAGCAGCCGAAGTATGTTAGGTAGCCGAAGCTGGCGTGTAGAGCTGGGTGCGGGTGCCGATGGGTACAGTCAGTGCAATGCGGCAGCTGCTGCAGCTGCTGTTCTGCTGCTTAAGTCCAAGGTCTTTTGCAATAACTCAACACTCGGAAAAAAAATTGAAAAAGCAAAGCAGAGCGAGACTTTAAGTACACTACACAAAAAAACTTTGTTAGCTAGAATTAAGTTTTTAAAAGGGAATACAGAGAGAGCGAGAGTAACTAATATTTTAGTATAATTAACTAAATAATAGAGGTTAAGGGAATATGAAAATTAAAGTAAGGGTATATATTTTGCAATTCTTTATTAATCTGTAAAAATTCCTGCATAGTTGGAGTAAATACTTCCTTGCGTGCTACAAAATAAAAATTTAATTAAAAAAAAAATTTTTTTTTCAATTTTAAAATTTTAATTTAATTTCTCCTTTTTTCAGACTGTTAAGGATTTTTGAAATATTATTCAATATAAAAGTATCAATATACAATATGTATATAATTATAAAAACTTATCAATATAAAGCGAAGGGAAATGTCTTAAGAATGTAAGTACTTTTAGATTTAAAAAATTATATGTTTTTATTCAAATATATACATAAATATTTATTCATGTCAAAAATAACTCCCTTAAATATATGTGATATGCAAAATATTCGGATCATTTTAGTGTAGATTCACCTTGAAATCCACCTAAATACACTCTGTTAGCTTTTACTAACTAGAGAAGCGAGCTAAGCCACTCTATGCGCTGCTCTTTGTACAGAGTACAAGAAACACACCTTAGCGGAGTTTATGAGCAAAGTTATGTTGTCCCCAATTGCAAGTGTAAAATAAAATAATTGCGCCCAAGTGGCGGCAGTCGAAGAGTCACCAAAAAAGAAGAACACGAAGATGAAAATGAAGAAGAAGAGCACGAGCAGAGGAGAGAGGAACCGACACGACAAGCAGAGCCTTGGCAGGCGACATGACTGCTTGACGATAAGATCATGATGAAGAGAGCATAGAGGCGAGCACACGTTCGAATGTGTCTGTGTGTGAGAGAGAGGAAGTTTGTGCATATGTGTGTGCATGTGTAAGCCATTGATTTAGTTTGACAATTATGCAGAGCGAGCTTTGCTAGTTTTTGCTTGACAGTGGATGAGGCTGCGGATAACATTGGAAATGGAACGGCGACAGGCAAACAAAACTAACGCAACTCCACAAAGAATAACAATATTAAATATCAAATCAATATTTGTTATAATTAATAATTAATTTAAGTGAATATTCTGCGAAATGAGCTTCTATTGGAATACTCAAAAGAATATTCATTAAATTTGTTCATACTGTACAGTTCAAAGTTTGCAAAAGATTCAGCACAGGCGGCGTCGACGTCGGCGTCGCGGCTGCGCTGTCAGCTACATCTGCATTTCTTGGCGTCCGTTACGCCAGCTCTCTTCCTCCCCCATTGTCAGCGCACCTTCTCGCTATCCCCATCCCTCATTGCCTCAGCTGCTGTCGCTGTCTGCGTCTGGCGCGGGCTTTAAACTTGTTTGCCAAGCGCGATTCGCATCGAATCGGATCGAATCGAATCGACGTCCGAGAGTCGCGAGTCGAGAGTCGACATTGCCATCCCCCAAAGTCGC